CTACAGTTCTGAGCTCATCTGGCTGGGTTTGTGTCTGTAACCCACTGAAAAAGTGACTTGTTCAGTAGAGGTGTTAGGAGGTAGGGACCAGGATTTCCAAAACAATTATTCTTATTATAAGACTTGCATGTACTCTACCTCATACTTTAGTAATTTATAGAACACTAATATCCCAACTACAAGACTATAAGCTCCTTGGAAGCAAAGTGTCTGACTTATACCTTCTCCAAAGACTGCTGCATTTAGGCCCAGATTGGGTGAGGATTACTTAGGGTTACATGACTTGTTAATGGCAGGACCAGAAATAGAACTCGTGATTTCCTTGAGCCATATACCAACCTAGTGTTCTGTCCGTTCTACCCGTTTCAGTTATCTCTTGCTGGTAACAACACAGCGCTCCAAAATTCCACTCCCTGAAACAGCAACACTGCTACTTCTCATAGGCTTACGGTCAGGCATTTGGTTGGGCTATTCTGCTTCGTGTGACATTGACTGGGTCGCTCACTTAGCTGGCTTCAGATGGATTGGGCAGAAAGGTCCCAGAAGATTTCATTTCCATGTCTAGAACCTCAGTGCTTCTCCCATGGCCTCTTTCTCTCCGTATTTTCTCTTCTCTCTGTCAGTATTCTAGCCTGAACTTCTTTACAGCCTGGTAGCCATCTTCCTCTAGCAGAAGTAAGCAGAAGTTGGCAGGCTTCTTACACTAGTCCAGAACTGACAGTGTGACTTTTACTGCATTCTCTGGATCAAGGCAGGTCACAGGCCAGCCCAGATTCAAGGGGAGGGAAAACAGACACTACTACCTCTCAATGAGAGGAACAGCATATACATTGAGGGAGGGAAGGAATTGATGGTGGCCATCTTGGAGACTAACCATGACCATAGTTAACCAGCAGATGTAGCCTTCTCTCCCTAATTCCTAGTGCCCTGACAGAACAGGAAAAACTCAAGCCTGTGCAGAAACAAAGGAGAAAAGGGAGAAGAAAAATGCCCCGAAACACCCATCCCTTTCCATCTCAAAGCCCAGCCAAAGAGTTAGAAAGGTGGCACCCACCTACCCCGCCCTGCCCTTCTGATCATTCCTTGGCTGAGTTACTTCTGGTCATTATTTGAGCTGCTCCTTTTGTGCCATATGTAAGGAGCACGATTAGTGCTGGTGTATCCTAGAGTGGGCATTTTACAATAATTTGGTTTTAGAGCTACTGCTATGTCTGTTTTCTGTGTCAGGCTTTTAAATGCCTATTTCTAAAGGCTCATTCTCTATGTAGTAGTTAAAAACAATACTTTTCAGTGCTGCATTGTATATTGCTAAGATGTAATACACCTACAAGTAACCTTTTCAACTGTTAATTTCCATCTATAAGTCCAAGTATACTCCATCGCTAAGAAAAAGGCAGGTCTCATTAAGTTTCTCTTGCTTTCTTTTTAACAACACAGAAGATTCTTACGTGAAAGAGTAAGCACCTAAGACTGGAAAATCAATTTTCTAGCCTATTCAACCTCTGGCAACATCCTTTCTTTGTATTGTCACAAACTTGGTTTAAAAATTCCTACAAGGTGAGGATTACAGGCATACTTTGTTTTATTGCACTTTGCAGATATTACATTTTTTACAAATTGAAGGTTTGTGGCAATCTTGCATCAAGCATGTCTATCTAATGGCACCATTTTTCCAACAGCATTTTGCTCACTTCATGTCTTTGTGTCACATGTTGGTAATTCTTGCAGTATTTCATTCAAATTCATTCATTATTAATGTATTTGGTGATCTGTGATAAGTGATCTTCGATGTTACTATTTAAGTGTTTAGAGGTGCCACCAACTGCACGCATTTGAGATAATGAACTTAATAAATGTGTGTGTTCTGACTGCTCCACTGACCATTTCCCCATCCATCTCCCCCTCCTTGGGCCCCCTATCCCTCGAGACACAATATTGAAATGAGGCCAATTCATAACCCTCCAGTGACCTCCACGTGTTCACGCAAAAGGAAGAATCACGCATCTCTCACTTTAAATCAAAAGCTAGAAATGATTAAGCTTAGTGAGAGAGGAATGTTGAAAGCTGAGATAGGCCGAAAGCTCGCTCTTTGGTACCACATAGTTAGCCAAGTTGTGAACGCAAAGGAAAGTTCTTGAAGGAAATTAGAAGTGCCGCTCCAGTGAACACAGGAATGATAAGAAAGAGAAACAGCCTCATTGCTGATAGGGAGAAAGTCTGAGTGGTCTGGATAGAAGATCAAACTGGCCACAACATTCTCTTAAGCCGAAGTCTAATCCAGAGCAAGGTCCTAACCCTCTTCAGTTCTATGAAAGCTGGGAGAGGTGAGGAAGCTGCAGAAGAAAAGTTTGAAGCCAGCAGAGGTGGGTTCGTGAGGTTTAAGGGAAGAAGCCATCTCCATAACATCAAAGTGCAAGGGGAAGCAGCAAGTACTGATGAAGAAGCTGCAGCAAGTGATCCAGAAGATGGAGCTAAGATAACTAATGAAGGTGACTGCGCTAAACAACACATTTTCATTGTAGATGAAAACAGCCTTCTGTTGGAAGAAGTTGCTGTCTAGGTCTTTCATAGCTAGAGAGAAGGAGCCAGTGCCTGGCATCAGCTTCAAAGACCAGACTGACTCTCATTAGGGCCTAATATAGCTGGTGACTGTAAGTTGAGGCCAGTGCTCATTGACTGTTCTAAAAATCCTAAGGCCCCTAAGAATTATGCTAGAATCTACTCTGCCTGTGCTCTATAAATGGAGCAACAAAGCCTGAATGACAGCACATCTATTTATAACATGGTTTACTGAATATTTTAAGCCCACTTCTGAGACCTCCTGCTCAGAAAAAAAGAAAGAGTCCTTCCAAAATATGACTGCTCATTGATAATGCATCTGGTCACCCAAGAGCTCTGATGGAGATGTACAAGATTAATGTTGTTTTCTTGGCCACTAACACAGCATCCATTCTGTAACCCATGGATCAAGGAGCAATTTTGACTTTCAAGTCTTACTATTAAAGAAATACATTTTGTAAGGCTCTAGCTGCCATTGATAGTGATTCTTCTGATGGATCTGGGCAAAGTAAATTGAAAACCTTCTGGAAAGAATTCACCATTCTAGATGCCATTAAAAACATTAATGAAGCATAGGAAGAGGTCAAAATATTGACATTAACAAGAGGTTAGAAGAAGCTGATTCCAGCATTCACAGATGACTTTGAGATGTTCAAGACTTCAGTGGGGGAAGCCACTGCAGATGTGGTGGAAATTCAAGAGAACTAGAATTAGAAGTGAAGCCTGTGGCTGTGACTGAATTGCTGCGATCTCATGATAAAACTAACGGATGAGGAGTTGCTTCTTATGGATGAGCAAAGAAGGTGGTTTCTTGAGATGGAATTTTCTGGTGCAAATGCTGTGAAGATTGTTGAAATGACAACAAATTTAGATTATCACATAAACTAGTTGATGAAGCAACAGCAGGGTTTGAGAGGATTGACTCCAATTTTGAAAGAAATTCTACTGTGACTAAAATGCTATCAGACAGCATCACATGATACACAGAAGTCGTTCATGAAAGGAAGAGTCAATCAATATGGCAAACATCATTGTTACCTTATTTTAAGAAATTGCCCCAGCCACCCTAGCCTTCAGCAACCACCACTCTGATCAGTCAGCAGCCATCAATGTGGAGACAAGAGTCCTCAACGGCAAAAAGCTCAGATGATAGTTAGCATTTTTAGCAAAAAAGTATTTTTTTAAAGATTCTATTTTTAAGTAATCTCTACACCCAATATGGGGCTCAAACGTACAACCCTGAGATCAAGATTCACATGCTCTATGACTGAGCCAGCCAGGTGCCCCGCAATAAAGTATATACATTGTTTTTTTAGACATAATGCTATTGCACACTTAATAGACTACAGTATAGTGTAAACGTAGCTTTTTTAAAATTTATATAAGCACAACTTTTATATGCACTGGGAAACCAAAAAATTCATTTCACTCACTTTATTGTGATACTCTCTTTATTGCAGTGCTCTGGAACCGAACCCACAGTATCTCTAGGGTATGCCTGTATTCTCTTGCTTTGAGAAAAATTCTCTTAATCTTCTAAATTTCCTTGAGAAATTTTTTTGCATGTATGTTTTTTTCCTTAAAAAAAAAGACTTGTTGTTGTTGTTGTTGTTGTTACAGTTAGATTGTCTTTTACCATTTAGATAATTATTCAACCCAGAGTATTTTTTCCTAGAAACAATCACATAAATAAAATTCATTGGTGTCATGTCACAAGAGGAAATGTAAGAGCAGCTATTTATGGGCTGTAGGGGCAAAGCTTTTCCCAGTGCTTTGGGAAATCTTTACATTTTAAGAGATTATCATTGTCTCTGGTTCCCCAAATGTGTGTGAGGAAATGTAATGTTCTTGTACCCGGCTGTCTAGGGAGTAGGGTCCACTGAAATCGCATTTATTCTCTCAATTTGTATGGCCCAGTTATTGAAGATATTGTATGGATTCTTTTTGTACAGGGTTGTATGGGTAAGCATTAACACATGGCACAAAGCTCGGATTCAAGTCCAGATTTTTTTAAAACTCCACTTTACCCTTTCTCTTATTTTGCTGGTGGTGGCAGTGGTAGGTTTGCTCTTGTTTACTTGCTATTTTCTTTTGTTTGTCTGTGACTGAAAAGACATTGTGCCTCTTTAAAGTCGTCCAAATCGTTTGGAGACCTTTGGGGATTTTATTTGAATTTTTTAAAATTTCCATACCGGGGTGCCTGGGTGGCTCAGTCAGTTAAGCATCTGACTCTTGGTTTTGGCTCGGGTCATGATCTCATGGGTCTTGAGATTGAGCCCCACATTGGGCTCCACACTCAGTGGAGAGTCTGCTAGAAGATTCTTTCCCTCTGCCCCTCCCCCCAGCTCGAGTGTACACACTCTTTTTCTCTCTCTCTCTCTAAAATAAATAAATCTTTAAAAATAAATAAAATTTCCATATCTTTACCCCTTTCATTTTAGGAAGAAGAATTAGAAGCCCAAATTTCCTTCCTTCAAGGACAGTTGAATGACCTGGATGCCATGTGCAAATACTGTGCAAAGGTGATGGACACTCATCTAGGTGAGTGAGCTACTTTGGCCCTGGGAGTAATGATAGTCATAACAACAGTATCCAGTTGGCCCTGGGTTAAACTTTTCACATGCATTATCTCATTAATCCTCACAGCAGCACTATGGTAGAGGTACTGTTACTATCCACATTGTACAAATGAGGAAACTGAAGCACAGAAAGATTAATACAATTTCCAAAGATTATGTCACTAGGATATAGAGTAGAAATTCAAAATCAAGCAGTTCGACCATAGGTTTCAATTCTCAACTGCTACACTACCTTTTGTAAATATCTGTCTACCTCAAACCAAAGTGAAATGTTGAGCTTTCAAGGGGCGCCTGGGTGGTGCAATCGGTTAAGTGTCTGACTCTTGGCTTCGGCTCAGGTTGTGATCTCAGGGTCGTGAGATTGAGCCCCACGTTGGGCTCCACGGTCAGCACGGAAGCTGCTTAAGACTCTTTCTCCCTCTCCCTCTGCCCCACCTCCCCCGATGCTCACACTCTCTCTCTCTCAAATAAATAAATCTAAAAAAAAAAAAAAAAAAGAAATGTTGATCTTTCAAGATCAAAGAGTCAGTTCTCCTGTTGTGCCAGCCTGTCTGTAATTACCAATGTGATCATTATTTTGACAGTGCCTTATTTTTTTTTTTTTTAATACATGTTTTTAACCACTAGCGTGAAGTGCATGTCAGGACCACATGACCTTTTCTTACTTCTGACTGCTTATATTCTAAGAAATGTTCTAGTTTGAAGTTCCATTTATGTGTGAGTCATACATATGTCACATTAGAAAGTCTTCATGCATTATTCTCTACATTTGTGAAAGTTCTGTATTTTTTATTAGAAATGGTCTCTGCTGGATCATGTATGTTTTACTTTAGCGACTCTGTTCTGCTTGCAGGACTTTAGAATGCAGACTATTAGTGTTTTTCAGCCCTCTTACGGGCATCCTTTCTTTTTCCATTCTTCGGTGTCTAGCATCTGTAGTTTGGGAGCAAATTAGGAAAATAAAACCTATACTCTAACGGGCCAATATTGCTGCTCTGTGAGTGTGGACAAATGGCAATACCAACTATAAGAAATCAGGATGCATCCCACATATGAGGGAAACCAAAGAGAATCCACCAAGGCCCCTTCCCCCTGGCAGGGGTCCTAGGAGTAGCCAATCTATGGGGCCTTTGCGGAAGGTGGACTCTCTTCCTTAGACTCCAGTGATCTCTCAGCCTATTAGGTCATGAGTCCATTACACGTGGTCAAAACGGCTGTCATTTAAGTGTAGCCTGAACCATCCTGGCCTCTAGTAAGGTGTAAATGTTCTCTTACAGTTGGGGAGGTGCTTGACCTCAGGGGCTGGTTGTCTACCAGGGTCTTACTAGGCAGCTGGCTGATCCCTGTTCTAGCCTCAGCCTTATTTCTCCTCTCTTGACCACTCTTTCAGAGGAAGAGCTCAAGAGGGGGAAATAACAGGAGAAACCCCAGCAGGTGATCAAAAGGGTAGTATCTCTTATCACAGCAAGAAATGTTACCCTTGTCACATCTGATCCACCCCTGTCACAGCGGTTCATTTATATGCTTCATTATGATCATTTTTTAAAAATTCAGATAGAACTAAGTTTTATGAATCTCATAGCATCCCAGTTTTTTTTTTTTTAAGATTTTTATTTATTTGAGAGAGGGAGAGAGAGCGAGAGAGAGAGCACGAGCAGGGGGGAGAGGGAGAGAGATCTGAGCAGGGAGCCCAATGTGGGGCTTGATCCCAGGACCCTGGGATCATGACCTGAGCCGAAGGCAGATGCTTAACCAACTAAGCCACCTAGGCACCCCTTATAGCATCCCACTTTCAAATGTATCAAAAAGAAGTAATGAAGAGAGATAGTTTATATATAAATAATATATATTATATAACTAATTTTAGTTAAATATAATTTTAATTTTAAAGCAAGTATGTGGGTGGGTGTATATGTGTATGTTTGCTTCTCTGGCTATGTGTGTGACCTTTGTATTGCTTGATTTGGGTTTTGACCAAAGTAGAACAAAGAAGTGACTGAGAGAAAGATTTACTGGAACTCTAGAAAATCCTGTTAGGAAATATCTAAGTTGTTTGGTCCACATAGCAGCTTTTAAAGCAGCTTTACTTAAGCCTCAGAATTTTCAAAGAGCTTTTGCTCTTATTTCGGTCTCTCAATCAGCACTGTAAGAGTATTTTCTCATTGCATGGGAGGGGGAAACACTTTAATTAAAGAAAAGCCCATACCAGATGTGAATTTTCAACTAACCGCAAAACTAAATTTGTTTTTGTGTGTACATTTCACTTTCAGCCAGAATCCCTTCATATAGCTGTCAACTTCTTTCCTCCATATAAATAGCAGGACTACCTTTTTAAAGTAGGGTTGAAGGATGCTATAAAGAATCCTGGGACCCAGGGCCCACAGATGGATTTCATTTCACCTGCCTGTTGGTTTATTAAAGGGCATTCCTGTGTTATAGGCAGTTTTGATTCCAAGCAAAAATTAGAGGAAGACAAAAAAAGGTTAATTAAGGTGAGGCTCTTGATTTACTTTTTGGCCTACTGTAATTCCTTTAAAAATCACTTCAGTACCCTAGTATTTTTTCCATATGATGTTTTCTATTTTTACTGATTATTAAGGCAGTACAAAATTAGAACAACTGAAAAACCCATTAATAAGTGACTGATTATAACATAGTGTAATGTAACCTTAATATGAAATATTAAAATAGTTATTTATTAACATAAGGAGATGTTCATGCTATATTATTAAGGGAAAAGACAGGTAGCACAATAGTATATATTTGATGCAAAAATAATCATTAACAGTGATGGCCTGGATGAAAGGAAGATTATAGGGGTACTCTCCAGGGGTCCTAATTTTTTATGCTTGGGAAATGCAGGACAGTCAGTGAAAGTCTATAGATGGCTGAAGCGCCTGGATGGGTCATCTTTACACTCCAGGCAAGAGTCAGTTGTAAGAGTGTCTGGAGTGGTGTCAGGAAGGGCAGCCTTGTGTGGCACCAGACTGACACAGGGTGAGATCAGACTCTGTCACTTCTTAGCCCCGCCTTATGATCATGTCTTCGTAGGTACAGCGGAGACACAATTATCTACCTTGCCAGTTTGTTGCCAAGACGAATGTGTTTTTTAAGCCCAGCACAGGGCATGGCCCAAAGTTGGGTTTTCAACACAAATTCTCTCCTCTGTCCCCTTAACTCCTAAGTGTCCCTTCTCAGGGAAGATCCTGAGACACTCATCAAGCCCATGACCAGAGTGCTGAGTATTGACTTGTCTAGGCCCCTACAACTAGTTAGTGGGAGAAGGAGGACCGATGCCAGATTTCCCAGCACCTAACTAAATATTCCTTTTATCAAATTATTCAGAAAGTTGCTGGAATTTGGGATATGCCAGTCCTAAGATGAGGTGTGTGAGCTCTTTGAGCAAGAATAGCTTTAGCAGAACAGAATGATGCAGCCTCCTTGCCATGAGCGCTGCTGGGCCTCCATTCTGCCCTGGGCCACAGGCTACTGCGGTAGCTGTGCGAACTGCCTCAGAAACTTGTTCTGACAGGTCTTTCTCTGTATCCGCTCCTAATGTAAATTGTTTTCACTAAGTTCCTTTTGTTTCAAGACAATTCCATTTCACCCTACAGTTTCATCAGACATGCAGTAATGCCTTAAAATGTCAAGTACAGTTCAAGGCTCTTTTTATAACTGCCAGAACAAATACAGAGAAAAACCTCTCAGGTAAAAGTTATATAAAGGCATTTGTTCAAATGGTCCTTTAATTATAGAGGTAATAACATTGACAGGTTAGCAGTTCTTTCCTTATGGTCCTGGAACCCAAAACTTTGGATTTTGTTTCATCGAAAGGAATATTTGTTTTATCGAAACGCTACCAAGATTCTAATTTTCTGACTTCCACGTAATTGAACTGCTTGAATTCAAAGACTGAGAGACAGGAATTGAAAATACATGTTTTGTTAAACCTAACTTTCCTGTCAACTTCAGAAGACTTGTTTTACGTGTTCATTTTTTGGTTGCTATAGTTACCCCCCTTCCTGTCATCCTGAGAGTTGAGTTAAAAGCCACTGACAGGATTAACCTCTGTGGCTGAGCTCAGGCTATTTTTAGATTTGCCGTATTTTATGCGTAACTGCACGTGGCTGAGCAGCCCACGCTTCTCTGATCTGTGAGCAGCTGGGCTGAGCTGCCATCTGTTTACAGGGAGCACGAGCTGCTCACCCTGCTGGCCCTCAAGCCCGCACCTGCCGGCTGCCACCAGAGGTATTTCCAGTCCTCCGCTTGCCGTTTAGACAGTGGTTTTCCAGCCCCTTGCCCTTTCGTGGGTGGTTGTGGTAACAAAGGCAGGGTTAAGTGCAGGGAATCAAGGGCCGTTAGGTTTCCCAGAGTGCTGTAGCTCCTATGATCCTAGAATACTGAACATCTGGAAGCTCTAAAAGCCAGCTCAGCAGTTCTTCATTTCACAGATGAGGAGACCAAGGTCCGAGGAGGAGGAGAGACACACAGCCAGCTTGTGACACACCTGCGTCCAGCCCCAGTTCCAGTCCCTGGCTTCTCTTTCACTGATGCCTCTGCTAAGGCCACCCTTGAGTCAGTAGTGGGAGATCAGATTCTCTGCCGTTTTGTTGCACACGGCATTGTTAACTTTGCACTTGCCATAATATTTACGTAAGCATTAGCTGTAAGAGGCCAGTTTTGAAACTCAGTTTATTTGCTTCCATAAGAACTTTAGAAATCTGATTTTCTCATGTTTATAAAAACGACTTTCGATGGCTGTCTTTGGAAAGGTTCAATCAGGCAGTTAACTAATGGCATTTGAAAAACAGGGAAAGAAAATGTGATCACCAGACAGCTTCCTCTGTCAGTCACGCTGTGATAAAAGTTTTCATAATTATTTTGAGAATTTTAAATACTGCATTTAATTGTGGGCAGCACGTCCTCTGGAGAAGGAAAAGATACCTTCACCTGAGAATCTTG